AGTCTTATAAAAAAGTATCTGGCTTTTAAGATTCCTATTTCGCATTTGTAATTGTAGGTTGTTTTAAAAGTAAACCTACTTAAGCTTTGTAACCTTTTTGGATAATGATATTCATGATATTGGTATTCTATAAGTACACAATTTTATTTTATTGGCCTTGAAGAACAAAGTTGATTTAGTCTTCTTTTGCAGAACAGTGTTGCAATTTTTTATGCACATAATATCTTTATATGCAACTGTGTGTCATTGGGTGAGTGAGTTGAACACAATTTTGTGGCGTTTGTGGCATTACGATAATTGTCGTCGTCATCATCATCATCATCATCATCATTATTATTGTCGTTTGCCTGTGACACACAAAATTAATTTCACTTAATTACCGCAAATAGACGAAAGAATTTGTAATTTTTACACAATGCACTTGAAGCCTCATAAAAAGAAAAAAAAAAAAAAGTAATGAAGATAAAAAAAAGCGGCAACAACAACCCTTTGCTTAGTCCTCGCCTCCAAGCCACGCCCCAAAGTGAAGAGTGGGTTTGGAGGCGTGAGTGTGATTAGTGGCTTACATTTGCGAGGCTTGGCCCAATTCCATCGTATTTAATTAGCATTTTGTAATACATTCGTAATACCCGCGAGTATTTTTACTCGTTTTCGTTCTCGTCGTTGTTGTTATTGTTCTTATTGTTGCAGTTGTACTTTTAATTTTAATTAAATTGCTCCGTTGTTGTCCAGCGGTTGGGCTGATGACTGAATAGCGACGCCGTTGCGTAGTCTACTTAAATTCTGAACTGTGGACCTGCCCGGGGGGTTGGGTTTATTTTATGCAAATGCTGAGCAGCTAATCGTTTGGGGCCATGAACACTCCCCAAATTGCATATGCTTAACTCTAAACTACAAAGTTTTAAAATTTGCTCCATATTAACGAATTTTAAGTGCTCTTTTTGTTAGTGGAAGAGTAAGTCGCAAGTCTAAGTAAACTTGTGGTTCATGTTCAGCATCAAAAGTGATGAGAGTTTTCAGTTAAACAAATAAATATTCATAATTGTAATGTTGAATGATGCAAGTTTACTTTTAATTTAATTTATAATTATAATTATGGAAAAGACTAAAAAAAATAATAGTTTTCCGACTTTATTTTAGTTCTACATAAATATTTGCATAACAATCTCTAATTCGCTGGGGTATTCTCTCAGTCTCTGATATAATTAACTTAAGCTCATTATTCTATATTCCCTAATATACTTTCCTATTCCTTAATATAGTTTCAAGTTTCTATCAATTCTGTAAAGAAAGTGGATCTGAATTCGCTGCATGACGACAACTTCAAGTGGCGATCAAAATTTCCAATTTCAAAATGATACCAGCAATTATTACATATATTTCTCCAAAAAGTGCTATCAACCGCTCTTTAAACATGTTTTTTTTTTCTTCTTTTCGTCATTCCCGTTTGCAACCTTTAAGAGCTGAATCATTATGTTGTTTGTCAGCGAGACGATGACAAGCAATTAAGAGTATCTGAAGTGTGTGTGTGTGTTGTTGGTCATTTGTTGTTGGTCTTTCGCTTGTTGTTTGCTCTATTGTACATACAAATACATATGCCGAACTATCCTCCCTTTTGTAATACACATGGTAAATAAATGTTATGTTGGATCTGCCCCTTGGCTAAGTGCCACATTTCAACACCTTGAACAATGGGATGTTACTTGTCGTTATCTGTGCTACGAAACGGACATGAAACACACTTAACCCATTTTAGTGGGGCAGCAACAACAGACGTAACAATATGCGGGGGCGTTGTTCATAATGTCCTGAGGGGATTGAAGGGTCCCCCAACCGCCACGATGATGATGACCAGGTCGAAAATGGGTCGAGAGATAGAATGGGAAGATATATGCATGCGTATAAGTAATGGCCGTTGGAGCGTTGAGTTGATGATGACTGTGCGGCTTCTGTAGTTGCCCCATGTGGCCAGCCGCCACTATTCTCCCTCTTATAACAACCGCCCGAGCAGCAGCCATTTAATTGCCACAAATTAATTAAATTAATGAATTGTTTGTCGTTGCATTTTTATGCCATCAGCAACAGCAGCAACAGCAGTCGCTGGCATTTTGTAGTCATTTATACCAAAATGAGACAGGGATGTTGTAGATTCTATTTCGGCCCCCCTCTCCACGCCCCATTCCATTAAATGACAAATGATTTGCGTTGAGCTGAAATTGCAGTGATAATATTATATTTATTTATTCATTTCATTTATTGTTCCCAATGGAAGGAGCCACCAGCTGAACTGGAAAATTAATTTTGTGATTCGTAAACATGAAATTAAATATATATATATGTATGTATGTACGAGCCTATATACAATATCTATTAATTTATATATATATTTATATATATACTGTTATTCACACTTTTATGGCGCTGATAAAGTTGTTGGTGATAAAAACCCGAAATGGGTTTTCAGTGTCCATTGATGGGTTCGTGTCATCGCTCATCCGTCCGTAATGCTTCACATTTTATGTCACTTTCATTAAACAATGGCAAATTGTGTTGAACATCCTCATGCGATAAATGCGTCACTTCAACAGCACATTTCTGTATGTATCAATGTGATATCTTTTATTGAAAATGTTTCCTTTTATGTACATCGCAGCGCATCTGTGTAGATTGTGTAATATATGAAATATGTGACTGAATATGCATTTTGTGGGCTGAGACGGTGCTGCCAACTTGTCTGTTGAAGTGCGTAAGTTTTTAATTCAACAGTGCTGCCATCTAATTGAAAATCTGTACAAATTCTGATTTTTCTAATTCTGCATTGAAACTGAACCGAAATTCAATTCGGTTTGCCTCTGCCTCTGAAAATTTTAACAACTTTCCACAACACGAAATTGAATAGCTCATCATTTATTAAGTTGCATACATTTTCATAATCATTATTTAATTTTATTACTTATCATTACTGATATATATATATATATATATAAAATAGCCATAGATTATTATGAGTGTGAATGTCTATTATATTTATTTAGAAAATTCTCATTTCCGTTGTAAATCAAAAAATATGCGGCACAGAGATGAAACGGGGTCAGCAGCATTTGCTGTGGCACCACAAACAAGCCACCCACTTACCCCTGACCTCCGCAGCCGCTTTTATTCTCGGTATCTCTTTGCGTCGCTGATTCTCTTTCCTCTGTACACTTGGAACTGCCACTTGTTGACTGCTATTGCGGCACGTTGACGCCATCTGGCGGTCATAATAAACGTCTGCATTTGGAGCACAGCGCAAATATTCTTCCCCTAAACAATAAATGTCATATGGTTGACACATCAACACTTTATGTGTCGCCTTGCCATATGCCACGCTTCCCCGCTTCCCCTCTTCCCCCCACACTCCTCTCACACATTTATACAAATGAAAATCTTTCATGCTTTTAATTTCGCCCGAAAGTATGCGGCAAATGTTTCGCACAAGAGACAAGGCAAGTTAGCGGGAGGGAGGCGTGGAGGGTGTGGGGAGGGGGGCGGTAAGAGGGAAGTGAATTTTTCTCGCAGTGTTTTGTGTGTCACATTTTTTTTATGACCAAAGCAAAATGAAATAAAATTATTGCCAAAAACGAAAATAAAGGATGAGCCCGAGGACATAAATATAAGCGCCAGCTCAACTCCAACCCGCCTCCTACTTCCATCCACACTGCCAACCGCTACAGGGACGCCCCCAATCCTCCCGCTTGCCCAGTTGTTCTCTGCTGCTCGTCACTCACTTGGAATTTTTGCGTAATTTATATTTTGGCTGCTGTGTACAGTGGAAGTGACGTAAGCGCACAGAGTTTTGGGCTGGGGTTCTTGGTTCTCGGTTCTTGGCCCTTGGTTCTGGGTCCTGGGCCCTGGGCCCTTGGTTCTGATTCGAGTCTTGCTTGTGGTGGTGGTGGCCCTCGTCTGGCATTCGGCTTTGTAGTTTATGTCTTCAATTTGCCCAAATGAGTCGTTAATTTTGACTTTTCATGTGACACCCGCCCTCAATGGACACACACACCCACATCCACATCCACATCCACATTGCTAGGGCATTCAGAACCTGAACCTGACCAGGAAACAGGAACAGAGACCCTTCGAGAGTTAGTTTGCCAGCCACTTTTATTGTAATTTTGTGGCCTTTAATTGAATTTTATTAGCATTTGTACTTATTATTTGCTCGCTCTCTCTCTCTCTCTCTCTCTCGTCTTTACTCCCCTTCTCTGTCTCCCTCTATCACTTTGCACATTTAATCGTATACTTTATTTCCCAAGAAAATTGGGGATTCGTCGGGTTTCCTTTGTATATCTGCGGAAATGGGGGGTCTTCTTTGCGGGGAGGTTTTCCGTTTATTGTTTTGCCTTTGTGTGCTAATAGAATATGCTATTTGTTTTGGATGAGCAATTTTGGGGCTGGCCTGGCCTAACAGTCTATGGACACTAGATGAAAAAGGCATCATGAAATTGTTGTTTGTTTGTTTTTTTTTTTGTAATTACTATCGTTATTTAAGTGCTTTCACTGTCTGTCTCTGACATAACCTTTTTTACTTGACTAACTTTTGCTTATATCTTTTATCTATTTGCAGGTAAGTCCTTCTGAATGGCCATAATACGACAATTGAATCGGTTTATCACAACTAATCCGTCTATGAGATAGTTCCTAAAGGCGGGGTAAGCTTAAGTTTTATCTTCATTAAATGCGAATTCTGTCAATGTTAGTTAAGCTTAACTTAAACAGAAATATTCATTTTTACCATTTTCCAATCATATCAACAAAAAAAAACACTGCCAAAATAAATTGTTAGTTTTTTATTTACAAAAAAAAAAAAAAAAATTCTAGCAGGAAGTTAGCAACAAATGAACAATTCTTTCAACTTTGGCCATTAAATAAACAATTTTAAAATGTATATTAGATCTGTAGTAGAAAACCTTAAAACATATTATTCAAATTTAAATACTGCTCTAAAAAGTGACTCACAAAATAAAGGCTAATAACTAGAAAACTGCTTAGGTTTCAACAAATCTTAAAACTTATGCGCGATATCTTTTTGCTCTGATGTGATTTTTTCGCTTCTTGCGCGTTGTCAACTTGATGTAACGCAATTTTCCTGGCTTTGTAGTGCTACCGAAACCGGAACCAGTACCCGAACCGGAACCGGTACCCATAGACGTACCGGGTCGCCGTTGACGTGTTCGCAATCGAGTTGACGTCGCTTTTGTGGGTCGCGGATAGGAATTGATTGTGGGAGATCCCTGCCAGGAACTGCTGGTGCCAGTGCCATCATAATCATCATCGTACATCGTGTTGCCGTTGTTGCCATAAAATGGTGCATAACTATTGCCATGTACCTCATTCTTGATAAACTCATCCACACTCAACGCATTGTTCTGTCCACTAAAGGCCACCGCACTGTCGTAACCCCGTGCATCATTCTGTCGATCAGGTTGATCCCCCCAAAAATTTGACCGCTCTTCGTAGGGCTCGTCCTCCACCTCGTCGGTCGGCTCATATTCAGTGTCGGGCTCATCCTGATACTCATCAAATTGTTGCTCCGTTTGCTGCACATATTTCAACTGCTTTTGCGGTCTTTTTTTGATGGTTCGAGTGTTGCTCGCAAACTTTACCTTCTTCCGTTTGCGTCCAAATTTTGAGAAATATTCACGCTGTAGTGCGGCCAAAAAGTTGCCATTGAGCAGCTCATTGTGCTCCAGTTCGGTTTCCGGTTGTGGTTCAGTTTCGTTGTCCAGCTGCTCCTCCTCCACCAGTTCCTCGCGTTGCTTCTGGGCCGCTGTTATCGCTGCCATCAAGTTGGGCGTAAAGAGCTGTTGCAACAACTGTTGTTGCTTGTAGCTGCTGCTTCCAGGCGCTGTGCCAAGATAACTGCTGCTGGTGGCACTGCCACCAGTCTTCACTGTACTCATCGTCTCCCTTAATCCGGTCTCCATGGGCTGATTGTAGCTGTCGAACAGTGCGGGTCCATAGTTGGGCCCCATTGGCATTGGCATAGGCATGGGCATGGGCGTGGCAGCTGTGGACATTAGCTGCATCAGGCTGGGTGACATGCCACCGCTGCCACTTGCCGTTGTCGTATAGCCGAGCAGCGATACATGCGGCTTGCCCACGGGCATTAATTGTGAATGGGGGGCTTGTGAATGTATTGGGTGGTGTATTGGGGCTGCCACTGCAATTGGCAACTGTTTGTAGACCTTCTGGAAATGCGTATGCTGACGCACAACTTCCGGCATGTGCAGACGTATGTGCACCCTGGTCAAAAGGAAAGCGTTAAGAACGAATATTTATTGGTTAAACGTAAATAAAATCGGCACATAAATAAACAACTGCAATGGGCTATTATAAAAGTCTCATGAGATGCGTAAGGCATTGAAGAAGCTAATAATTTATATCAATATAAAATGTATATATTTTTACCTTTAAACTTTACCTAATTTTCTGTATCATAATATTTTTTCTCGAATTACATATTTCCATTTCGATATAAATTTACCAAAAATTGATTTCTTTTACTGTTTCTCACAAAATGATTTTCGTATTGTTTTCGTACATGGAAATGGAATTTTTGGCAATTTTGTTGAGATTGTTCTTGGATATTTTGTAAACGAAAAAGTTTTTCAAACTCAAAACTCATTCAAATCAACTATTAACATAATTCTAGTCTGCAAGGGTATAGAATCTTCGGCATTCCCATTTTAAGCGCAATTTTGAACATACCTTTCACCGCTGTTCGCTGCTGCTACTTTGTCGTATGCCAGCCTGGCCCAAACGATCCACATAATGGCAATTAATATGTGTGCTTTCATTTCAATGCGTTTATCCTGCCGTTGCCTGATGCCACCGTTCCCGTATCCTGTGCTTCCTTTTTATCCTGGCGCGTTTGTCTGCCTTCAACTCTGGCCAACTTCTGACAAACGCCGCTGCGTTGTCTCCTACTTTTATTGGCTCGCGAGGCGGTAAAAAAAAAATAAACAGTTAAAGCTACAAAAACGCAACAACAAAAAACAACTCACAGATCATATTTCCTTTTTTTTTTGTTGTTGAGAAGCAGAAGTTAGCGGGGGGCGAGGCAGCTGTTTCACCTCACGTTTCCAGCAGCTGCACTTTGGTGAATGCAATTTTCCATTTTCCTTCGAACCATGTTCAGTTCAAGTCATCTCGCGTATCCGCTGTGCATCACATTTTTATTTTTTTTTTTTTTTTTGTATCTCTCTGTGCTTTGTGTCATTCGATAGCTTTGTCAGACAACTTTAAAAACAAGAAGAAGCAAAATTAAACTTGAGCAATTCCCTATGAAAAGCCATTGAAAACGCATGCGTAACGTTTTCAATTTCATTTGCAAAGTAACGTTTTTTTTTTCTTTATATCTTTTTTCTCATCTGTGTGTGTGTTTGGTTGAGTCTTACATTTCGATTTGCTCATCTGCCATGCTCTGCGAATGCATCTCGGATGCCATAAAAGTGAATAAACCCCAAGCAACAGCAACCAGACTCAGACTCAGACCAAAGACCTTGACAACAATGGGGGATTGGCAATAAAAGAAGAAGAATGAGAAAGGTCAGTGATGGAATTGCAGATGAGCAACTGCAATGAACTAGAATGTAATGAAGGATGCGTCTTGAGCCAAAAGAGAGTTCATTTATAAATTTAACTAGAAATGGGAAGAATCATCAAGCCACAACAACACTAAATAAACCATTTTGTATAACAATAAAGCTAATGCATATCCACAATCCTAGCAGAATGTGTCGCACTAGCTAGAAAAAGATGTAGCATCCTAGGGTTGCATGCCTTGAATTATAAAGATATAGAAGACCTGAACCCAACAACGATCCTAGCATTCGCACGGGATCTGGGACTGATGGAAGAGCTATAGGCTCAGAAGGGGGCACAATAGATCCAACAGGTCGCGGTGCAACTTCCCCAATAATAATAATAATAATAAATATCCACAATGATTGGTTTTGATGCCAGTTCCAATTGCTCATAATAATAATGAAATTTCATTTAATGCAATTTCATAGTGTTTTTGTGTACTCTGGAAATATTATAAATATCTAAAATAAATGAGAACAAATCGATAGAAATGACAGCAAATTGACGATAGCATATAAATAATAAAATGTTTAACATTTGTTTCCAATTATCTTCTGCATAGCTGAGTTATTTCTTTAAAACTTTGATTGGCATAACGAATTCTAAACGCAAACACAAATATTCTATTTTTTTTTTTTGACTTACTTAACCTTGGTTAAGTGCCAAAAAATAGCTTAAAAACAGGCTAGAAATACAAATAAAAAATATATATATTTATATATATATATATATATATGAAAAACAAGCAAAAATTTCAGGCGCTTTTCCAAGTCACTAAACAGTAAAATGTTGGACAAAAAATGGGATGCTGTGTTCAGGGGTGTTTCTGTCTGCAAGCGACGCATTTCTGGCAACACCAAAGATAAGGAAACGTCTGTCCAAGGTTGGTACTTTCCGGTGTTTTCCTACTTGCCATTTTTGTTGGCAACAGCAAAAAGTAATGAAAGTGTTTTTGCCAAGGATAACCACAAGGAATATAAAAGGTAAACTTTAAAGCCAACAGTGTTTCAATTGAAATGCAAGGGGGGGTTGTGAGCGAAGGGTCGCAATGAGGAAATGACACTGTAACGGATAGAAGTGCTTCAAAAATTGTCTGACTTTTGCTGAGGTAATGAAAGGTGTGCAAGTCGAAGAATCGACTGTGGAGAAACTGAGGGAACAGCATGTAAACTAAACGTTCAATGGCTTTTTGCACTTATACCATGATGATGATGCCATAAAATAATAATAATAATAATAATAATAATAATAATGAGTGAAAATGATGTTTTCAACAAGCAGGCAGAATATCCACCGTTAAATTCTAGGTTGTTGCTGCTTTAGGTTCTTTTTTTTTGCCTTACTTAGTGAGCAAGCAGCTTACCAGACGTGACACGCAGCAGATAAAGTATAAGATGAAAAAGAACACGCAAAAAGGTGTAAAGCAGAAGATAGACAAACAGTGCTTTTGGTACTGAGACTGTGAAGGCAACAGCGTAAAGATTAACAAGTCATGATTATTAGTGCTGTTGTTGTCGAGTGTGTTTCTAGGTGGGAGAGGGAGAAGGAGAAGGAGAAGGAGAAGGAGGGAGAGGACTGCTGTAATGGTAAACTTCAGTTCTAAGAAGATGTGGCCAAAGCGAAAATGTGTTGAAAATGATTATTGCGTTACGGACAACTCGTGCTGATTGGCTGCCTACCTCACGCTGACCTGTAATTTCGAGTGGTTTGCCAGCCAACACTGTAATGTTTTTCTTCATACATATATACAAATGGATGCATGTTGCGTGTACAACTTTTGACCCCCAATAGTAGGTGCAGTTTGCTATGTTGCAGCACTTTTCCCACACAGCAGTCAGTTCAGTAAGGTTGGCAACATTGTTGTTGTTAAGGTTGGCAACATCAGCAATTGCAACATCTCACGCTACTCATATGTTAGTGCACGTTGTCAACATGTTGCAAAGCTGACCTTGGCCTAGGCAGCAAAAGGCGGCAGCGCAATCATTGATCATGCTCTCCTCTCTCCCTCTCTCTCTCTCTCACTGAATTGAAAATGTTGCTTAAGCAACTAGTTCAAGCTCATGCTAATGACTCTTCTTCAAGTGCGCTTGCTAGTTGTTGTTGTTGTTGTAGTTGTAGTTGCTGTCTTTGCTGCCTCTCTCTTTGCTCTGGGTCATTGTCTTGTCTCTGGTGCGCTCTGTGCATGTTTTAGTGTCTTTCTGTACTCGCATGTAAAGCTCGGCTTTGCTATTGTCTTAAGACGTTTGCTTCTTTTTTTTGTCTTTCCATTGTTGCTGCCTCTCTCTCTCTCTCTCTCTCTCGCTCGCTCGTTACGCATTTGCGTTTATTTTTAATTGTTGTTTATAGTAGCATTTGGCTTTAGCCATTATTTTAAACACAACTATTGCGCCTCATCATCGTAATGTTTTAATAGTAATGTTAATGGTCATCATCAGTTACGCCTCTCGGTCATTGGCATCTGCTGGACAAGTTCGCTGCTTACTGTGTAAGCTTTACACTTAAGTCTCTCTTTCTCTCTCTCTCTCTCTTTTGGCCTTCTATTCGCCCTTTAAATGCAATCGTGAAAGTCAAGCGCAGTGTAGCTTAGGCCTCGGATTAGTCAACAATTGAATACCCTCTAAACAATTGAGCAGTGGGTGTGCTCTATGCACACTCTCTTGAGTCATCATTTACTTTATTTAAATTTCTTTTCGATTTATTTGTTGTCTTTGAAATGTAGTGTAGAGTATCTCATAGTCGTATATACATACAGTAGAAATTAATTATACACGTTTTGCCACCGTTCTCCAATCAATCTTGAATAACAAAAGAGGGTATATCACAGTTGAGCATGGCGTGTCTTTCTGCCTTAGTTTTTAGCTTATTTTTGTGATGATGTCACGATGGGTGTAGCTGACAATGTTTCCTATGGCTTCCTGTCTTTGCCAACTTGTTGCTTTTGTTCTTGTACTTGTTGCTTGTTGCAGTTGTTGTTGTTGTTGTTGCTGTTGTTGCTGTTGTTGTTGCTATTTCTTATTACATTTGTTGCTGCTGTTATTCTGTCATGTCCGGCGGCAAAAGTTTGTTCGCCTCGCCTTTGTTTTCTTTTGTGGTTGTTGTTGTTGTTGCTGTTGTTGCTGTCGTTGCCAATTATCTAACATTGCGAAGAATGTCTACAGATTTTTGTTGGGCATATAGAACTATGTTGGTGCCGTTGCCGTTGCCTGTCTCAAGTTATTAGCCATCATTAACAGAGTACCGTTGCGTATAATCATTTAACTGTAAACTAACAAGAAGTATTTTTCTCAATCTCATTTGTAGCACAGCTTTTGCTCTGCAAACTATTTTCAGTTTCTGCTCTTTCTGCTTCCTTTCCTTCTTTGCAACTGTCTTGTGTCTAGCAAACAATTTCCATTGCCAATGAGAGTTGCAAGCTGCCAGCAGAATCTGGAAAAGCTTGCAGTTGGAAAAACTGGAACATAACTTTGCACTTGAATAATTCATATCGATATCTATACAGTTTTCAGCACTCTTGCTCTGACTACAAACCGAAGAAATCTTTTGGCTTACATAGAAAAGTTATAGAATATTTATAGAAAATAATATTTTATCATCTGTGTTGCACTTGCATAATTCGTTTTAGAAATTAACTTCAAAACAGTTATTTCTTGTACTGGTTCTGTATGCTATCTTGCAACAGTCGTACTCTATTCGTTCTTTGTGCAACTTTCACCTCAATTTATTGCGCTTGCAGCCAGAAGTACAAGTTCTGCCATTGCAACTGGCAACTTGCAACTTGCAACTTTTACCAAGCGATCTTGCAACTGCTGTTAGCCAAGCAGGCGGAATTTGGTTCTATTTTTTGTATTTTTTTTTTTGTTTTTTTGTAGTTTCCTGGTTGGCAGCATGGCTCCGCTGAGATTTGCAATGCCAAAGAGCCATACAGCCATGATCTCCATAAATACATAGAAATACTCGTATATCTCGGGACTGGTTGTCTTTTTTTTTATATGTATTTTTTTTTAAGTCTTTGATGAAGCTTGAATTCTTTAAATGATGTCAGCTAACAAGACTTTTGCCTTGTTTCTGCCAGCCTGGGGGATTATTCTGGTTTTCCATATGATTTTTCTATAAGCTAAGCTCTGCCAAAGTCTTTCCTTTTCTTCTTTTTGGGTCGTTGGCCAATGTTTTAGTTGTTTTTTTT